AAGAGCAAGGATGCCAGTTTAGAGACTAAGGTGCACCTCACCCAGGCCGTGGTCTTCACAGTGACCTGCTATGCATCAGAGAGCTGGACAGGGACTGAGGATGACAGAAAAACAATTGATGCCTTGGAGTTGTGGTGCTCAAGAAGAATATTGAACATATGTTTTGTCTTTGAGAGGATGAAACCATGAAGGCAAGGATTTTGAAGCTCCATCTCACATACTTTGGACACATGGGCAGGAGGGATCAGTCCTTGGAGAAGGACATCATGCTTGGAAGGTGGGAGGGACAGTGCAGAAGAGGAAGACCTCAGATAAGGTGGATTTGGATGGTAACTGAGGTCATGGGGTTAAGTGTTTTGGAATCAGTGAGACCAGCTCAGGATAGAACAGGGCTCAGAGCTATTGTACATAGGTTCACCATGAGTTGCAAGCAACTTGATAGCACATAACAACAAGGTAAAAAGATTGAACTTTCATTTATCTAAGTTATAAAATTAACTTGTCATATTACCTGTCAGTGTGCTACCTCTTCTGATAGCAGAACTGATGTAAAATCACGCATTGAATCACAGACAGATGTTTCAGTTTAGAAAGTGAGACTGAGTTTTCATAAAATGAACAACTAGAGGTCTAGATTAAAGGTTTGCAAAAAGGTTTATCAAGAAAAATTATTAAAATAGCTGGTCCCACAAATATTTGTAAGACAAACATTTCACCGTTCACTAGTTTGTCTTTATCAGAGCTTGTGGGTTTTGTTGTTTGTGTACTTGTCATTTTTCATAGAAACCCTCGAGATTGCAAAAGTAAGGGATAAAAGCTAGGAACAGTATCTAGAAAGATAAAAGAAAAAATTGAGATGAGTCCATTTTGCACATTGGCATTCAATACCAAGAAGTGGGTCAAGGAGATAATTGATTGCCTTCCTTTTATGACTAAAAAGATATGCAAATTTTTTTTGCAAATTCCCTATAAAGAAGCATATTTTAAAATAATATGTCTGTTTATAAAATTTGCAATATACAACTTTTATAGTGTGTCTGTTACATCCCCAGTCAGCATATTAATGTCAAAATTGTGTAAAACTTACACGGTTGTACAGTTTATAAGACATTTTCATAATTACTGAACAACAAAAGTGGGTAAAATATTACATTTGGAATCCAAAGCTTCATGATTCCTACAGACTCTTTTCTAAAATGATATTTATAATGTGCCAAGCCCCTTTCCTTATGTTTTTGCACCTTCACACTGTTTCACAAGCCATTGTTCATAGAGTTTGCAGCGTCATAGTCAATGGGAAAACATTAACAACATCCACGTCATTTCCTGATTCATTGTGGAAGATTGGTTAATATGAATGTTCTTTTTAAGCTTTTCTCTAGTTGTTAAATAACAACTTTCAAAACCACAGAAGGTTATCAGATAATTTAGAAGTTTTAGCTCAAATATGTTGCAGCCATTTACATCTATTTGCAACAATAGATGTGCATATTTCAACAGTTCATCATCTGCTGCACTAATCAGTTCTGCAAAAGCTATTATGACTAACTACAAAAGTGCAAATTTCCTTCCTTACTAAACAGCATATTTTTCAATACAATATTGGATTGTCAGCATTTAAATTGTGTTTTAGGCAGTGTTTTACAAACCATTAACCCAGGAAGGTGTCAGCTGTGATACTTTTCTTTTTTAAATAGTTACCATGATTTTCACTCCTTTTTTCCCCCAAACTTTCTACCACAATAGCAAACTCTAACCGGGAACTTGGAATCAGACCAGCACAGAAGAAAAGAAGCCATTCTCTTAGACGAGGGGCGTTGGGAGAAGAGAGGTTGTGGGAAGGCAGGAGGCTTGCTTTTGCCTGACTTAGCTACCTTCCCCCCCCCCCACTTTTTTTTTTCAGGTTTTGTTTGGTTTTTTTTTAAAGGATTCTTTGTGGTGTTACAAATGTGCTAAGTGTGTTCCTGAAAGTTTGGGCTAAGGTAACAAGTACATTAAGCATTAAGCAAAGTAACTTTCTAGTACATAATTTTTAAAGTGAATAATCTGTTATAGTATGTTGTTATTGATTGCTGTCGAGTTGAGCCTAAAGTTTTTTTTTGTTTTGTTTTGTTTTTTGTTTTTGTTTTTGTTTTTTTGGTGGCCGAAGAGGTGTTTATTGAGCCTAAGGTTTTTATATAATTAATTGACATTTATCAAAGTTCATCGAGTTTCCAGCGGCATATTGTTTAGGAAGTGGGTGCCACTACTGCTTCTAAAACTGGAAGATGTATCAAACACTGTCCACAATGGGTAACCATGATGGCATTTGACACCCCAGTGGCACAAGGTTCAGCATCAGAGCAAACCCAGGTTACCTCAGTACAGCATATTGACAGAAGAGTGCTGTACCACTTAGAAGAATGTTCCTCCCAAATATAACAACCGACTTTAAATACAAAGGCCCTCCTCAAGGTCTTAGTGACTCTAAATAAGCGGCTTAAATAAAAAAAAAAAACAACAAACCCAACAACAACAACCCAACCAATTAGTATGTTGTTGTTGTGATGTATCCTTGAGTCCCCTGAGAGGTATAGTGGCCCTATGTACAGCAATTCTGAACCCTTCCTTGTCCTGAGCCAGTCTCACTAATTCCAATACACCAAATCCCCATTTTCTCAGATACTGTATGAATCCATCTCATCTGGATTCTTCCTCTCCTGCATTGTCCCTCCACCCTTCCAAGCATGATGTCCTTCTCCAAAGAACGGTCGCTCCTGGCCGTGTGCCCATAGTATATAAGGCAGAGCTTTGAAATCCTAGCCTCCTAGGAGAGACTTGATTTCACCCTTAATTTTAATTTTCAGACTTAATTTTGTTTACTTGGCAGTCCATGGTATGTTCAAGACTCTTCTCCAGCACCACAACTCGAAGACATTGAATCTTCCTCTGTCATCCTTATTTTGTCCAGCTCTTTGAAGTATAACGAGTAATTGAGGAAACCATGGCCTGGATTAGGCACACCTTTGTCTCTAGACTGACATCGTTGCTTTTCAGCACTCTGGAGAGGTCCATAACAGCAGGTTTTCCCAATGCAATTCATCTTTTGATTTCCTGACTGCTGGTGTTAGGAGTGTTGATTGTGGTTCTGAGCAAGCTTTAATTGCTAACAACCTCAATCTCTTTTCCATCTGTCATGGTGCTGTCAATTGGAGCAGTGGTGAGAATCTGTCTTAATGCTGAGCTTCAATTCATATTGAAGACTATAGCCCTTAATCTTTTACAGCAAGCACTTCAGACCTTCTTCAGTTTCAGCAAGCATGGTTGTGTCATCTGCATAACATAGGTTGTTGATGAGTCTTCCTCCAGTCTTGATGCTACAGTCCTCTTTCTAAAGGCCTGCTTCCCAAATGATCTGTTCTGTGTACAGATTGAAAAGGTATGTAATGGTACAGTTAGAAAATAAAACTAAATCAGACTGCTATATGGTGAGGTAGGACTCATAGCAACCCTATAGCATTTCCAAGAATGTAATTTTTACAAAACCAGAGGGTCACAGCTTTCTTCCATAGACAACTCCTAGTAAAAGAAAATCTCTAACCTTGTGGTTAGTGGTCAAGTACTTTAACCACTGCACAGTGAGGAGTCAGGGAATAACTGAAGTGTTAATCTTGATCATTAATAAATCTTAGAAAGCAGTAGTTAAATGTTTGGTTCTTAATCAAAAGATCAGCAGTTAACTACATCAGCTGTGGGACAGGAGAAAAGTCCTGGCATTCAGCTCCCACCAGGGTAACAGCTGAGGAAGGACCTTGCACTCTGTCCCTCTGTGTTCCCAGTGAGCCAGAATACCTTTGATGGCACACAACTCAAAATTGATCCTCCAGCAGGTCTTTGGAGGCTGTAAATCATGTAAGAAGAGTTTGCTCATCTCTGTCTCCTACAGCTGAACATGAATCGGAGCCGCTGGTGGACTTGACCCTCCAAAGAGGACTGGCCTTTGTTAGCAGCATCACTTGGTGTGGACTAGGAGGCCATTAATATTCCCTGTGCTGAAAACAGTGACCCAACATCATAGCAGGGAAAAACAAAAGCCTGCAGGTTATACTTAATAAGACTTATGGGGTTATGGCAAAGAGAAAACACAAGTTAATATTAACACAAGTTAATATTCCAGTACTCTGAGTTTTCCGTCACAGTGCAATATTATTCTATATCCTGTTACTCAGATAGTGAAAGACACTTGATTTTCCTAATACTGAATCTTACTGTATTAACTCTTCCCTTTTTTTGCTAATTATTAACCAGATTGCATACCTTATTTTTCTTCCTAGAGCCCTCAATGTGCATTGTAACCTCGGAGCTGGGAACCATTATGCCTGAAATTGGTAGACTATGTGAAATACATGTAAAGGCAGTTAATTTCATTACTGTGCATATATTCAGTGGATGAATACATTGGAGATTTTTCTTGTTTTATTCAGGATGCCTATTTGGTTGGTTCTGAATTTTCTTCATTGTATTTGTTGTTTGATACACATAGGGGATATTGTAGAGTTTGATCTAATATATACTTGTCTTAATTTGCACTTGGCAGGCGAATCTGTGTTTCCACATTATTGCAATATTGCCATTAAATCTTTAGGCAGAGTGATCGTGACTGTGTGCATACAGACTTTCGGTGCCAAGCATAATGTTATGCATGTGGTAAGCACTGAGAAGTATTTGCTAAATGAATGCATTATTTTTTAAAAAGCCCAACTTTATGGATAATGTGCATCATTTCTACTATGGGAAGCACACACTACCAGCTGTATACAATGAGCACCGCCCGAGGAAGCCAGCGGACACCATAGCTGGGCACCTTAGATACCCTCATGTCAGATGTTTTATCTCAATTTAAAGGCAAACTGCCATTCTCATGCTTTTGTCTTTAGATTTGAAATAAGAAGGACTTGCTTCTGAGCCTCAATTATACTTTTTTTATCCCCTCTTTGTCTTTTTCTGTTTGTTGTTCTTAGCTCCCTGTGAAGGCAACACCTTCTTCTGCCATAGTAACATGTGCATTAACAATACATTGGTCTGCAATGGACACCAGAATTGCGTGTATCCATGGGATGAAAATCACTGTAAAGGTAATAATGATTCCTCCATGGGGTGGGAGGAAAGCTTGTTCCAATACTTATGTGTAACGAGTGTTCTTAGAAACAGTATATAAAGACTGTTAAAGGGGCTCTGGTGAAGCAATGGTGTGAGCACCTTGTTATTAATTGAGAGGTTGGTGAATTGAACCCACCAACAGCTCAAAGGGAGCCGGATCCAGAAATTTGCTCCCCAAAGGGTTGCAAACTTGCCACAGTGGGTGATTGTGCTCTCACATGGCCTCAGAGTCAGAATCACCTTAATCACATCTGATGATCACAGCAGGAGTGAGCTTTATGAGCTCCGTGTCCCTTTCCAGGAGCCCTGGTGGCTCTGTGATTAAGGAATTGGATGTTAACCAGAAGGTGGGCAGTTGAGACCCACAGCTTCTCCTGCTAAGAAAAGCAAAACCATCTGATTTCCTAAAGATAAGAGTGTGAGAACTCCTCATGGTACTTCTGCTCTGTAAGTCTGAATGGACTCAGTGGCAATGGATTTGGGGGTATTGCATTTTAATTTTATTTTTTAAAAAAATGAAAGTGTTATTTCCACATGATAGTGTAAAATGGTTTGAGGTCTAGGTGTTTTTGGTCAATTAGTAAGCATTTCTTTGCCTTTAGTTTTCCTGAAGTTTCTCCCCAGATTAGTGCCCAGGAAACGAAGCTCAGCGTCTTTACCACTGAGGGCTTTCTCTGTTCCAGGGAGGGGCAGTGAGAGCATCAGGAGAGTGTGTTACTTCCCTCCCCTCCAGGCACATTCTCCCTTGTGTCCCCATGTCCCTCTCCTCTATGTCTGTTTGTCCTTGTCAGGCATCGTGCACCCTCTAAAGACAAAGTGTATGCAAGGAACACGCGTGAGTTACAGAACTTGCAGCCTCTTAACTTAATTGCCTTTTAAAAATACAGTTTTCTTTCCAGTGAAAATCATTTCCAAGTTCCTTCTTTCTTCAGCCAAAGACAAAAGTATGTTTATGTGGACAAGGATTCTTGGTTAGGTTATGAATGTTGTGTGTTTCAGTTAAATTGGAAGAGTCAGAGATATCCTTGTATTAAGTGCCAATATTAACAATTTTAGAAGAAAGCAGAATGGGCTGTAACTCTACAGATCACAGTATTGTCCACTGAAAGCCTTCTGTGGAGGAAAAGCACTGCAGCAATTGGTGTGGTTTCAGGCCTTCAAGGAAAGGAGACCCTTGTTCAACTATGTTCGTTGTTAGCCACTGGTGATGGTTGGTTAGCTCTGTGTCCAAGGAGACATTTCTGATTGTACAGGAAATCAGCTTGTGAAAGATCTTACTACAGCACTGTTGATGTTAGGGTCTGTTGTTTAGAGGGTTCCTGTGAGTCATACTCAGTGGCACCTAACAACAACAGCTGCTTTTTGAAGGAGTCCCAGTGACAGTGGTTAAATGATCAGTTCCAATCTACCTGCTATATACACTCTGAAGGACAAAGGTGAAGCAGTCTGCATCCTTAGAACTTAATCCAGACCCCACCCCACTGGCATCATTGAGTGGACGCTAACTCACAAGTACCCTCCGTTGAATTTCTGAGGCCGTAACTGCTTCCTCTTTCTCCCGTGGAGTTCTGGATGAGTTTGAACTGCTGACCTATTAGGTGGCAGCCCAGCATTTACCTTGTAGTGCTAGCCTTGGCACTCTCGAGTTGAGTCCTGCCCTGCCCTCTGCTGGCTTGCTGTGGAGTCAAAATCCACTCAAGATTAGTGAGCCTTGAGGTTTGTTTTGTCCCCTGACACGATGCTGCTCCTGAGGGGTGTGGAGCCTAGCTGGCAGGAGAACCTCATGAACAAACGCAGGGAGTTTGAGTGCATCGTGAACTCCTCTGCTCCTCTTCACACAGCAAACCTGGGGTGGGGGGAGGTCCCAGGGCAGAAATCCATGTAAACTACACACTTGACACTTGACGTGGAAAAACAACCTCGAAATGAGAGCAAAGCCACATTGTAATTCAGTTCAAACAGGGAACGTTTCCTCATGCATTCTATTCTTACTAATTTTTTAATCAAATAATAATATACAAAGGAGAAACCAATCCATATTTCTACTGCAAAAAAATACAAGGAAAGCAGAATGTCCTCATAACCTATGATTAGACTTGTTGCTCCCTAGCTGATTCCATTTCATTTAATTCTGTTTGAATGCCTTGCCACCTGCAGGCTGAGGAAGAGGCCAGTTATGGGGTTCCAGGAAGAGCAGAAAAGGAAAGTGGGGGCAGCTCCGTGAGAACCAAGAAAAAAGGCTGAGAATAATGAGTGAATGATGCTGATACTCATAAAATTCGTGGTTAATAGTGTATCATTTTGACGTAGAACCATTTTCTTGAGATGTCATATATATATTACCTAATTTGCCCATTTAAAAGCTATAACTCAGTATTTCTTAGTATGTTCAGGGACCCACAATCACTGGCACAGTAATTTTGCAATATTTCAGCACCCTAAGAAGAAATTCAAAGCCGTTGTTACGCACCGTCAGTCAGAGCCAAGCCATAGCTGATGCTCCTTGGGTTTTCAGAGGCAGTGAGTTGAACGGGAGCGAGTGCCCTTCTTTCTTGCACAGAGCAGCTTGTGGGTTCAAGCTGCCTGCCTTTGGCCGGCACCACAGCTCCTTGCTGCCAGGAGCCCGAGCTCCCTGCACTGGCAGAAGCCGTTTCTCTGACCACTTTCAGCCCAATCACAGGCAGCCAATGCATGGGTCTCCATCTCTCTAGATTTGCCTCTTAAGAACCTTTTTGTGACTTAAACCAAAAACCTCATTCTGTCAAGTAGGAACTGATGCATAAAAAGTTCCCAAGACAGTAAGTCATATGGGAGGAGACTGCCTGTGTCCTCTGGGACCCACTGGTGGATCTGAACCAACTGAGAGGTGCCACTGTTGAGTTAGCCATACAATTCCCTACGCCACCAGAGTTCCCCACCTTTCATGTAAAGGGCATCATAAAGTAGGTGTATTTGTTGTGGTTTTTGTGTGACTTGCTTTTCCCCCCTAGTGTAATGTTTTCCAGGGTCTCACATTTTGGAGTATGCATCAGCAATTCCTTCTCTGTGCTGTGTAATAATAGTCCATTGGATGGGTACAACATGAATCCTGTGTGCTGACCCCCTCATCAACTGACTGGCATTTGGGCTGTTTTCACTTTGGGGTTACTGTGTATCTGTCATTTTCACATTCTAGTGTGGATCTCTTTCCTTATCTTGTGGACGTAAAGCTAGGAGTGAATTTGCAGGGCGATCTGGCAGCTGTCTATATAAATTCTCCTGTTTTATCTGCCAGAATGGTTTCCGAGGCTGATGCAGCATTTTTTATATCCATCAACAGAATGAGGTTTCCAGATCTTTCACATCCTTTTAAATCCTCATTATGAACTTTTTTTTTATTGTGGTTATTTGAGTGGGATGAAGTAGGGTGTCCCTGGGTCACGTAGAAAGTTTGGAGAGTGAGTCTCCCCAGAAATGCTCAGGGTGGGGCAGAGGAGTAACAGCCTCAAGGCGATACTGAAGACTCAGCACAGCGAAGTTCTACCCTGACACGTATGTCAGAATCCACACAGCACCAGCTGATAGCTGGGATGGGGTGAAGGTCAGCTCTCCGCAGTTTTGACTTGTATTTGGACAGTGACTAAAGGCATCAGCCATCTTCCCATGTGCGTGTTGGCCATTTCTAGCTCTTCTTTAAAGAAATAACCGTTTAGATCCTTTGAATATTTATTAATTGGTTGCCTTTTTGCTGTAGAGTATTTATGTATTCTGGTTCCTAGACATTGATCTAGGCAACTCTGGGGGAATAATCCGTAGGGAGCTACCCTGTAAATGCAAAGGCACCATCTCTGGTGGTTCAAATCCACCAGCAGCTTTGAGGGAGAAAGATGGACAATCTCTTTTGGTGTGATTTACAGCTTCTGAAAACCTGCTGGACGGTCAGCTATTAGTTCTAAGCTGACGGCAAGGAGAGATTGTTATCAGGTGGCCAAGAGGCTTTTCCTTGGAAAGGGGACTCATGCTTGGAAAGGTGAAGGGTCAGCAAAACAAAGATCCCCAATGAGATGGATTGACACAGTGACGGGACGGACTCAAGTGTGTCAGAGATGATGAGACGGCACATCAAATTACCTATTTATTGTTGTTACTTCTGAAAGCATTGTTACATCTAAGAAACTATTATGCTGCAATTTTCATCCAAGTATATAGTGGTTACATTTGAATTGTCCTTATAATTTCACGTATTTTGTACACAGTATGAAAGAGGGATCCGGCTTCACTCTTTCACACGAGGATACACACCTGTCCTATTATCATTTTGGAAGAGACTCTTTGTTATCTCTTAAATAGTCTTGGAACCCTTGTCACTTGATCATAGTTGTGGGGGTTCATTTTTAAGCTCTCAACCATATTTCTTTATCTGTATATTTATTCTTATGACAGTTCCCCCCCCCTTTTTTTTACTATGGTGACTTTGTAGTAGGAAATAAAGAAGTAAGGAAATGGAAGTCTTTAAATTTTGCCCTTTTCATAAATTATTTTGGTGATTCTAGGTCCTTTGAATTTCCAGCAGAATTTGAGATTACATTTGTCAATCCTAGCAAAGAAATAAGCTGAAATTTTGAAAGGGTTGCATTAAATGTGGATATCAATTTGTAGGGAATTAGCACCTTACTAATATTAAAATTTCTGATCCATGAATAGGAAATGCCTCCCCATGTGGTTAAGTCTTTTTAAATCTCTGTCAAAGGCTTGGTAGCAGAAGCTTTAACATCATTTGTTAATTGATCCCTAAGTATTTATAATTTTGATGTTCCTGTAAATTGTTTTCTTAATTTTTGCATTTTTATTGGTAAGCTAGAGAAATGCTGCCGATTGTGTATCCTACAACCATAATCAACTAATATATGACTTCCCATAATAAGTTAGTGGACTTCTTAAGGTTTTCTCTGTACAGTGTTATCACATCTGAAAATAGAAATAGCTTTACACCTTTTTCAATGTGTTTCATGATGTTACTTTGTCCTAGTAGAACCTTCAGTGCAGTGTCAATGGAAGTGATGAAAGTGGACATCCTTGATTGTTCAGGACCAGAGGGAGAAAACATTCTGTCACCGATTATGGGTTTTTTTAAAAGATGTCCTTTGTCACATTGAGGCTGTCCCTCCTATTCCTAGTTTTTAAAAAATATTTTTATCATGAAGGAATATTCATTTTTTAAAATGCATCTTCTGTGTCTCTTGAGACGACCTTGTGGTTTCTGCCTGTGTTCTGTTGATACAGAAGTATATGTAGATACTTCAAGAAATGACGTTGAGGAATTTTCTTATTCCTAGGAAAAGAAAATAATTTGTTATTTCAAAGGATGAGCAGCTCTTCCCCAAATGTCATTCTAAAATCCTAACAAAACTTCTTCCAAATGGTGTGTGAGTGTGTGTGTTTGTGTGTGTGTGTTTTCTCGTAGAGGTGTTGGACAACTGAAGGTCTATTTTCAAGGCTAGAATTGTAAAGATTCACTGTTATGATTATGATTATTCATGGGGCTTGAAGTCTGTACAATCTATGCTCAACCCACATTGTTTGAAACTTCCGAAGAGTCCCCTTGCTGATGAGGTCTGACGTGCGGTGGCTCCTTTCTGTTCTGTCCCGTTTGTGGTCCCCCCTCTCCCCAACTGCAGAAAAGCGGAAAGCCAACCTTCTGGACCAGCTGACCAACACCAGTGGGACGGTGATCGGCGTGACTTCCTGCATCGTCATCATCCTCATCATCGTCTCTGTCATCGTGCAGATCAAGCAGCCTCGGAAGAAGTACGTCCAGAGGAAGCTGGACTTGGATCAGACGGTGTTCCAGGAGGTGTTTGAGCCTCCACAGTATGAGCTATGCACTCTCAGAGGGCCGGGGGCCACAGCCGACTTTGCAGACGTCGCGGACGACTTTGAGAACTACCATAAACTGCGGAGGTCGTCTTCCAAATGCATTCATGACCATCACTGTGGATCCCAGCTGTCCAGCACGAAAGGCAGCCGCGGCAACCTCAGCACAAGAGATGCTTCTGTCTTGACGGAAATGCCCGCCCAGCCCGTCAAACCCCTCCTCCCACCCATGAACAGGAGGAACATCCTGGTCATGAAACACAACTACTCCCAAGACGCTGCAGACGCCTGTGAAATCGATGAGATCGAGGAGGTGCCCACCACGAGTCACAGGCTGTCCAGACATGACAAAGCCGTCCAGCGGTCAGTATCCCTAGATTTTTTGATGACAACTATAACCTGAGGACCGAAGGGCTTCCACAGTGTCTTGTACTAGTCTGTCTTCACCTTTCAGTTTATTAGTGTTTTTAGCCACGGTGCCTTAGCATTTTCCTTCTCAGAACTCTCCTTACTCCTCCTAAACATGACAGATGCACACGACGTGGACGCATGCATGAGCAAGCACACACACAGACCAAAGATGCTGATTTCTGTCGGCATGCTGTATTTATTCCTACAAAACATGCATATTGTAGCTGGCAATACAAATTTTCTATCATCACATGACTTTCAAAGATTTAAAAAAGGTCATGGATACCACTCTCAACCTTATCCATGTTTTAAGACATCACCTGACATTTGGATACAGTTGCCTTATCAAGATGGTTAGCCCATCTTACTGAATAATATTAATATAAAAATAATATCTTTAAAAATATAACATTTTATTTTTTTGGTACTAGAATAAAAATACTTTTCTAATACATGTAACAAAAATCTTACAATTAAATTTGCATTTGGTGCCATAATATGCTAAATATTAATCATTCAATATTTAAATGTACCTATAACTAATAGAAAAGTTTAATTTCTTTTCTCTAGTTCATAAGTAATAATTACTTGTGTTGTCACATGAGCACTAAAATGATAAAAGTTTTGGTGAAAGAATATTTAAATTAATGAGTAACATTATTTTACATTTCAAATATCCAGCCTACTTATATTTTGTTCTGCATGTTTATTAGCATTTAGTCTGTTTTCTAATTTCCCATAATTTATCAGTGCACTTATGCAATCTCAAAACCTAAAATAATTTTACTTGACCATATAGTTTGCATGCTGATGGGAAAAGGAAATCTATTTTTTTAGGTTTTTTGGTTTTGGGTTTTTTTAATAATTCAAGAATGCTTTTAAGTAAATATTTGTATGCATATATGTGTTTCTGTGCAAATACTGCTTTGGTGAATGAACTAGCCGTAACATTCCAGGTTCTGCCTCATTGGGTCTCTAAGCAAACATGAATCAGAATACAACACAACTAGGGTCTAAAAACAACGTTCAAGGTAAGCAAATGCCCTTGATCCCTTCCCTCCTGTGTCTTCCCTGTTTGTTTGTCTTGTTGCAATTGTCCCGTAGTCTGAAGGGAATGTGCTCTGTACCCATTGCTTTGCTCCAATACGTGGTGTGTCGTGGCATTTCACAACTGGAGCGATAGTGACCTCCTCTGTAAGGGAGGAGTCTCAGTGTGCAGGTCTTTGAAATGAATTTTGATATCTGACCATCAAGGACCTCATAATAGCATACCTTTTAAAAGTAAACCTACTAGAAAGAGTGAACTCTTCAACAAATTATCAGATGAAGCCAACATTTTAGAAAACAAAAATAAAGACTATTCAGTTTTACTATAACTGAAGTCAGGACTTAATACTGTTAGTTACTTTATGGATGTATTTTGTCAATATTTGACGTAACTCTTACGCTCAGTATTTGGTAGAGCTTGTAGTGTGTGCTCTTATTTTTGCATGGATGTGTAGCTTCTTTCATCAAAATTAAATGCAGCATGCTATGTCAAATTTTATCAGATAAAATTTGAATGCGTGATAACATGAAATATTTCTAATGCCGGCTGTCTATGTGTACACCTATTTTATCCTTGGATAGCATAATGGCTTTACTTTTTGCACATGATAGTCTTTCATAAGACTAATTTGTCTCCAATCACATTTGCTTGACAGCTAATTTCTTCAGAGCTCTTCAAGCCTATCAACTATTCTTGAATTAGGTGAATGCATTTCCATGCTCTATCTTTACCTTGATAAATTGATGTATTTGTATGCAGTTTTCATTGGGAGAAAATGTTTTAACTGTGTTTTATTTTCAGAGAAGAACTGTTTATACAAACATGGGGACTGTGACAAAGGACATTCTATAGTGAATTATGAAAAGTGGACGTATTTCTAAATCCATTCCACTGCCTTTATCCAAACGTAAGAATCACAGACATTTGTTGTTACTCCGGCAAGACATCCCCGCTGCGCAGTGATCTGTTCATTTTGTAATTTGGTTGCTGGTCACCAAGTGCTCCTTAGTTTCTAAATACGCTTTGAGATTTACTGGAAACTTGAAGAAGAAATTAGTTCCTGATTAAGACTACCCCAACTTTTATTTTTCCAGTCAGTTCCACTTTTGTTTCTATGTTGTTTTATGTCATTGTTATATCATTGTATTTTGTGAGATGTGAAGAAAAAAGAAAGAAAAATATGTCTGGGGATAAACTTTACATTTCAAATACATTGTTTTTATTGTATAGACAGCTTGGGAATAGTAAGTTCCTGTGTGATTATGAACACGCTACAGAGAAAGTTGAAAATATGGACCATGGAAACTTCAGCTACAGGGTTTATGGACAAGGAACATCTATGGTTATATAATGGTTAAATGGAGATAAAAGTAATGAGTAAAATGACTAGATTGCAATAAGAAAAACAATGACAAATTTTCTGTCTTTCTGGTAGACCCCAAAATTCTTTTCACTTTTGTTTCATATCAAGGAAAGAAACTGAGTTTCAGAAATAGTTTTGAAGTCAGGTACTTTGTCATCAGTGCCCTTCAGTGGGAATGTATGTTTGTTTGTTTGTTGTTTTTGATCCAGCACTTAGCAATATGAGTGACTTGACAGTTTGAGAAAACTCCCTGCATGTCAGTACTGGGTATTTGAGTTGGGAAAAATATCCTTTTTATTAGACATTGTAAAAAGCATGCATTCTCAGATACTGCTGTGACTCTCCCATTTCTTTATGTCATATGCTTGCTACTTGTAACTTTTTATATAAAGATATATAAAATGTGTAATAATTTCCTAACCTGAGTTAAAGAAATGGTTTTTTTTTCCCTATAGAAAGAAAAGCACCTATCAGAAATACATACATAAAAGCACTTTTTACCTATTGGGTGAACAGATAGTCTCCAACATTGAGGTATATGTCCTCAAATACTTAGTTTTATGGGACTTGTTTTCATTTTGAAATAGTGGGGGTTTTTTAAGTACTTTACAACCACAAACTCTTTTTATGACCCAAATAACCTCATTTTGAATCAATATTCTACACAGGCACACATGTGGCACTGAAAGTATATTGATCATGATTGTTTCATATAAATAAAGTAAATCCTTTAATATACTTAATTGCTGTTGAATTATATGTATACACTCTATCAAGTCGCATTTAAGTCAGTGGGCACTTGTTAAACATACTGAATGTGTGTTGTTAAGAAATACATTTTTAGAAAACAGACACATTGTATATACCCTTACTAACATTTTCAAAACTACTTAATTCTGCCATTTGTAAGAATTTTTTCATTCAAACAACCAAGCAGTCTAGACTACCACAGTTCTAACCTTGTAACTCAAACAGACATTATAAGCCAAACTTATCAACTACTGACATACAGCTCCTTGTTAGAAATGTAATTTCTCTCTCTCTCTCTCTCTCTCTCTCTCTCTCTCTCTCTCTCTATATATATATATATATATATATATACACACACACACACACACACACTATACATATACGTATACATACATACAAGTTAATGGAAATGCAAAAAAGAGCTTTATCAACTCTGAATATTCCACGTTGAATATGTCACTTAACCATCCCATGAGTTTGACAAACTAATGAATTCGTAAAGTTGTTTTTCCGCTTGTACAGTTTGCTACTGTTAATATTCACCTGTATTTTGGAGCTGCCTGGTTTCCTTGTTGCCGTGTTAACTTATCTTCCCTTTATTTCAAAGCTATAGTAGCCAGGCATTATTTTAGGAAATGAGGAAGCGCATTTTATGCCCTTTTCTCTATTTGGAAGTTACCATCAGACCCTTTCCTCATTGATCAGGGGATCTCAGACAACACGTTCCTCCTCATGCTGCCCCAGCCTGGCCAGGGCCTCCCCTCTTTCCTGACTAGTTAAATGCTCTTCCTCTGCTGCTTCTCTGCCTCCCTCCTTCCCATTGCCATTGAATTGGAAGCGACTCCTAGCAGGCGCCGCGGTGGCTTTCTGAGACTAGATCCCATGACTGGAGATTACTCCTCTTTCTCCTTTGCATCTGCGGGGTGATTCAAGCATGCAGAAAGGTGTGGCTCCTGGGGTAGCAGCAGAACTCCCTGTGCAGACTTTCCTACTAAAATGTCCTAATAAGCCTAAGATCCCACTGGAGCTTGCCGGTTCTCTGCTTTGGAGAGCTTTTCTCCACCTAGTCACAAATTATTATTTTTTAAGTACACCAAAATAAGGAAAATATAATGGTGGAGAGAAGTAGCTTACAAAAATTCAAGACACAACTCTCACACCATCTCTATGGGTGGCAAGGATGTTGCTAATAAATGGCAGATGCTACTGATAATACAGATAATACTAAGAACATTTGACAACAAATCATGCAACATTGACACTAATTAGGAAGGAAGATGGTGGCAGTGCTAGAACTAAGTGCTAGGATGCCCCATGGTCCTGTGAAGAACTCTGAGCTCTGGGTCTTGGGAAGAACCTTGAGGGAACCTAGAAGAGGTTTATAATGGGTCCTGAGTGTGGCTGTCTAAAAGCCAGCCTTGAAGTCTACCAACACGATAAATTGATAGATTCCAATGGAGTCGTCCCCTGGCTCCACCAACCACCTCACCTGAACCTTTGGGTTGCACTGAAATGACAAGGCAAACATACATGAAGAATAAATAAGTTTCAAGACTGTCCAGAGTTATTTCCATTGATTTGAGGAAGTCAATTCAAATACCACTAATATGCAAATGGTCCCTTAATTCCATAAATCAGTCTAACTAGTTGTTATATTAATGCACAGTAGTAACTTAATGTTATTTTCATATTGACTATATTTTAAGTCACTTTTCAAGGCCTTGAAGGATGTCATACTTACATGTAATGCCTTTTAAACTCCAGATTAAAGATTTTACACCTTTCTCATTTATTTGCATCCTATGGCCTAATGTGACCACATCAACAAAATAACCTTATTTGAGCTAGGTGTGATGAATTAAAAGTCAGATGGATTTGTATCTGATTGACCCCTTATATGTATGCTTAATACTGTAAGATAGATGCAACATTTGAATCACCATGATTTTGATTTGATTGTTGTTGTTATGTGCTGTCGAGTCGTGATTTGATTACATGTAATCAAATTGATTCCCACCCATGGTTACCCTCTATTGGACTTCACACCAAATTTCTGAGGCTTTCTCAAAGGCATGCAGTCAGAATCACCAGCGGCTCCATGGGAGATGGATGTACAGTCTCCTCCTGTGTGATTACAACCTCTGAAGACCCACTGGAGGGTCAGCTATGAGTTGATTCCAACTCGGCAAACAGCAAAAACAACATGAGACTTTATGAGAGTGGATTGCGAAACTCCTGAGGCTGCAAATCTTTTAAGTGAGAACAGTTTTTCTCTTGCAGAGTGGCTGATTGAAAACACAGGCCTTTTATCTAGAACTCAATACTCCACCCCTATACCACAGCTAAAGACATGATTGCAAATTAGTGCATTTGAGTTGTCAAAGTGATATTTGACTGTCAAATATCACTAAGATGCTAATTTTTTAAAAAAAATTTTTGCTTCTTTCCTATTAAAAATATTTTAATAATTCCAACAGATCACATCAGCTTGATTCTCAGTGTTTACTGAAGTGAAGTTTTCAACATAATTTAAAAAATTCATTCTAACTATTCTGTATTTCCTCCTTAGGGAAGTGCCTTTTCTTCTAATTTTATAAATTTTTTAAAATTCCATGCTTGAATTTACCTTGACCTCACAGTATAATAAATTACAAAATATGATAGTTGGTTTCATGTTATTAATGGAATGGTGGATTATTGATGTTTTACAGGGGAAATAGATAGCTTTTCTCTTATTAAATGTATGTTGTCCATTGAGGGAAATACTACATCCTGCTGGATTTCTGCTCTGGAGGGAAGTTAGACACACAACATCTCTTCAGTGTTCTGAATCCTAAATGTGTCTCATTTGAACACTGAGCCCAACCAAGGTTTGACTG